TTTCATGCCACCCTATCTATCAATCCAGCATGTTGTCCCACTACTGACCTGACCTTCTTCCATGCCACCCTATCTATCAATCCAGCATGTTGTCCCACTACTGACCTGTGACCTTCTTCCATGCCACTCTATCAATACAGCTTGTTGTCCCACTACTGACCTCTGACCTTCTTCTATCTATCAATACAGCATGATGTCCCACTACTGACCTCTTCGCCTTAGTGGAGGTTTCAACTTCACTACAATCATGTTGCCCCATACCTCCTCCGTTTCTGTGCCAGTGAAAATCAAATAAAATCTCCCTTACTGCCCCATATGAAAAGAGGTGAACAAACAATCAGTCCCGACACAATCCAGAAATATGCACACACAGTAAATGCATAAGGCAATTGCTAGAGGCGCCAAAGCCAGCAGTTGTCATCAAAAATGCAGTTTGTCGTTGATGGAAGTATTGGTCAACACTACTGACCTCTGTCTTCATGAAATGATTGACCCCCCCCCCCCCAAGGTGACGACCAAAACGAGCAACTCTCTATTTCTGATATGGATAAAAGTATCCTCTTCAACGCCTTTAGGCACATAGGGCTAGACCTATATTTTACAGAACAATGGGCACTCAGTGGGTGATGTGGTCAATATCATGGCGGTCACTTTACATCTCAGGACCTATCTTAGGGTGGATCCACCTGGAGGCCGAGGTCTACGTTCTAGCCATCTTAGGGTGGGTCCATCTGGAAGCCGAGCTCTACGTTCTAGCCATATTAGGGTGGGTCCACCTGGAAGCCGAGCTCTACGTTCTACCCATCTTAGGGTGGGTCCACCTGGAAGCCGAGCTCTACGTTCTACCCATCTTAGGGTGGGTCCACCTGGAAGCCGAGGTCTACGTTCTACCCATCTTAGGGTGGGTCCACCTGGAAGCCGAGCTCTATGTTCTAGCCATTTAAAATACCAAGGACACAAATCTGTGAACAGACATGAGTGTCTTCATTGCCAGGCAGGGCACATGATAATGATGATGATATGATGAATAGATGACTGAGTTAAATGAATGCTGGCCCCTGAATCATGAAAATTTACTTGAAACTCTTAACAAAAGTACACACTGTATCTAGCCACAGGAACAATATGTTTTGTGAACGTCGTAAAATGTAATCTTCGTCGATTTTGTTTACATTCTGACACAACTTCAGCATCACACAAAACATCATTTCTTGTCCAGCTAAAATAATTACAATTTGCCACTAAAAAAAATATTTGTTTAAAAACTACTGTCTGGTCACACAAACAGGGATTTCACACCGTATCACTAACATACTCTGTTGGTCTTTGCAGACTTTACAGCAGATGGCCAAATCAAACAAGCACAATGAAAAACATGCAAGAGCACTGCTTTAAAATGCAACATACAGATATACTGCTTAAAATATACTGTGATCTATTCAAACTATTAGCCAGAATTCTTTACCATGCTGAGACCAAATGTGAACAGTTTAGTAACATCTGATACCCTACCTGACATTCAAGAGAATAGCTGGTAAGACTGCGGGACGTGACAGTTGATGTCATGTACAAGGGTTTGGCTAGCTAGCTGAGGTAACACAGTGAGACACAGGTTTGCTAGGCAGCAGCGATGGCACAGTAACTATAACTAGCATGTTTGCCTGCCAGCCCAGTGAGCTTTGCTCCACACTGAGGCAGGAAAGTTTGGCTCTCCTCCAAACTTCTACCCCCGCAGTATTGCGGCCTGAAATATCCGTTTGGGGCGCAGTCCAATTAAAAATACGGACTTGTCGGAGTTCCCGCCGAGGAACAAATTGCGGCAAAACTAGGAGTACCTTACAATGTCATGAGACGCAACATTGCAGACGATACTAGCAGATGATAAAAGCGACCGTTGACAATTTCAAGACATTACAGACGATGAAAGCGATATGGCGGGTAGACCACACGCTCCCACGCAGATTAGCAATACTGCTCTTCCGATTGAGGATTTAGCAGTGGTAGATGTCAGACTTGTCGGCATGCGCAAAACGCGATTAAACTCACCGCCGAGCGTATCCCCCGCGCCGCTACGTTAAACTAGGTGCCTGGGACTCACGCGCAAAATAATTGGAGGAAGTTGCAGGAGATGTGGTAGCTGCCACTCGTGAGTCCCAGCCATCTATTTTTCGCCCCTAACCGTGCCGCGTGGGATACGGTCGGCGATGAGGCATAGTCACAGAAACAGGTCAGCAAGTAACATATCGCTGAGAGCCTGTTAGAGCATTTGTTTCGTTTTTCCGAGCCGATCCTAGATTTGCCACGATTTGTTCGTCGGCAGAAAGTTTGACAATGGAAAGTGACAACGGTCGCTATTATTGTCGTCTGCTACTATCGTCTGCAGTGTTGCGTCTCTTAGAATTGTCAGGTAATCAGAAACAATAAGAAACAGGTCCCTGTTAGATCATTTGTTTTGTTATACGGAGCCGGCATATTTTTTAATGGACTGTGCCCCGAACGGATATTTCAGGCCGCAATACTGCGGGGGTAGAAGTTCGGAGGAGAGCAGAAAATTTTAATAACCACACTAAGTCCTAACCTTCTTAAACCTCAACTGTTCCCGTGGGGGTTTCACGGCCCTATGGTGGGGGGAAAAAAACAAAAGAGCCAGTGCCTCCCTAACAAGCATATTGTAAGTGTTGACTAATTAGGGTTTCCTTCCAAGTTGGAGTGCATCTGCCTCAAAAGCAAAGAACCAACAGATTCAAGTTGTTCCCCTCCACCTTGGGACTGTGTTTGAATCCTGTGTGAGCCTTGCCGTTTTAATATTATACTAGAATGTTCCATAATCTACAATACTGGACATGTGGAACATATTCTGAAGTGCTGCAAATGATTCTGACAGAAACATATTGTTTGAATGCCAACTGGCAACATAGGCCAAACATTGCTTATAGATCTGACAATGTGTCGCTGGCTCCCTTTAAAAAAATTTTTTTTACAGCAATAGTATAGATGATGTAATAAAAATAAAAACTCACAAAAATGGCTTCACGAGTTTATGGCTTTAGCATGTCAATGATGACCTCATTATGCAAATAAAACTCTTCTTGCTGATTACAAATATATTTCTCAACATAGAGTTTGCTATTACAGCCTCAACAAAAAATAAAACAACAATTTACAATCTAACATTCTTTAGCATTACATGTTTAAATACTGGTTCTGAAGAGAGGTAATGCTAGGGGAACGAGGGTGGTGTGAACAGCTCCGAGTGAAATCATTACAGGAAGCGAACAGCACCAAGTGAAATCATTACAGGAGGCGAACAGCACCAAGTGAAATCATTACAGGAAATACCACAGACATAAGTGTCTGTTTACAAACATTTATGTAGTTATTTCTGACAATAAAAACAGTTTCCAAGCCTACTCTGTGTATCCGAATGAAGCCAAGTTGTCTACTCTTGGCTAACATTACTGCAGAGTTGTCTACTCTTGGCCAGCAATACTGCAGAATTGTCTACTCTTGGCTAACAATACTGCAGGGCTACTCTACTCCAGTCAGACAATGATATGTTTATGAAGGTGCAGATCCTCTGCAACAGTCCCACTGGCCCACACAGTGAGCAAGTCACTGCTGCAGGAGTGTTTCCTTAACATCCAAAGGTGCAGGGCACTCCAAGAGAAGGTGGTCGGCCATTTCACTTGAGGGTGACAACAATGCCAGGCCAGGAGTGAACGTCAGGGAAGGAAACAATGTAGGCAGCCATTGACACTAGCAAAACCCATTCAGAACTGACAGGTTACTGATGTTGTTACTGGTTGGGGACGATGTCCCACTTGACAGACATGAGACTAGCTAATCTTACTGGATCACTCCTTCTAATCAATTTATCATAATTATATACGGAGCAATATCATCAGTTGGAGATGTTATCATGGCACCACATTATCAGTCAAAGATGTTGCAACAGGATAATACTATCAGTTTGAGATGTCACAAGAGGATGACGCCACCATTCAGAAATGATACTGGGATGACACCATCAGTCTTTCGCAATGGGATTTCACAATTAGGTGGGAAAGGAAGGGAGTGAAGAGATTCGACTCTAGCCCTAGCAACACCTCAAGTACAACAGTCTACAGCTGAAGTGAAAGAACAATGCAAATGTCTACTTGAACAATACTTGCAATACCTCCTAAAAAAACACAATTGAAGTCAAAAGAACATAATGTTTTATGTTTATTCGTCGGATCAACACCATGGCACATGGGTGTAACCCATAAAGGCTCTGTTTTACTTTTAGCTCAAGCCTGAGTCTTTTAAAGAGTCTCAGCGCAGTGCACGAACTCTGTTGCACCGGCGAGGATTCTGAAATACTTTTTAAGAAGTTTTTTCAATTCCAAATGTTTGCCCGGACAGCGCCATTAAGCTACTATTTTTGATTTCCAACTGCCAAGGAATTTTTTTTTAATGTGTGCAAGAATACACATCTTACTACCCAGAGAAATTACTAGAAGTCCATGTGAAAAAATCCCAGCCTTTACCGGGGCTTGAACCTGGGACCTCAAACACTCAAGGCGGACACCATACCTTGAGACCACTCAGCCCCTCCTACCTCCCCAAACCCCAAGAAAAAAAAAAGAACATAAATAAGCAAGAACAGAACAAGATAACACTGGCTAGAATATTATCACAATAATAACAGGCAATGAGAAGAAAAAACAAACACAAATGCAAAGACTTCCACAGCTGCTTTCCATCAAACATGCCAAGATAAGCCCTGTTGAACAGGCAACATCAGACACAAATCATGCACACCCAAGACAAACATTTCAACATTTACTTTTGGAGCTCTGAGCATATATTATATATCCAAGGTACAGTAAAGTCGGCGCTCCGTCACAGAAATAGTAACACACATACTAGCTTATGGCATCACATAAATAGTAACACACATACTAGCTTATGGCATCACAGAAATAGTAACACACATACTAGCTTATGGCAGAAATTAACTAGATAAAATATTTTTCTATGTTCCGGTGATAAAATTCGACAGCAGCACGAGACGATGTGTTCCATGTGTTGACAATATGGCCGCGTGCAGGGTGCCAATATGTTAAACATAAATGGTCTCGGCGATTGGTGTTGCAGTGGAAATCGATGGCCACTAACAACGCAGCAATCAGGGCCAGGAATGAGAACAGCACTAGCAGCAGACACCTGGCACCACTCCTACCTGTAATGTTTTAATAAGAAGATCTGTGTATCTGCTGGTGGTAGTGGGGTGAGGGCAGAAGCAAGAAGGTGGAGGGAGACAGAGTGACACACAGATAAATAGGGAGAGAGAGAGACTGACATGGATAAATAGATAGGGAGAGAAATACTGACATGGATAGGGAGATAGGGAGAGAGAAAGACTGACATGGATAGAGAGATAGGGAGAGAGAAATACAGACATGGATAAGGAGGAAGGGAGAGAAATACTGACATGAATAGAGAGATAGGTAGAAAGAGAGACTGACATTGATAGAGAGATAGGAAGATAGAAATACTGACAAGGATAGAGAGATAGGGAGAGAGAAAGACTGACATGGATAGAGAGATAGGGAGAGAGAAATACTGACATGGATAGGAAGGAAGGGAGAGAGAAATACTGACATGGATAGGGAGGAAGGGAGAGAAATACTGACATGGATAGAGAGATAGGTAGAAAGAGAGACTGACATGGATAGAGAGATAGGGAGAGAGAAAGACTGACATGGATAGAGGGATAGGGAGAGTGAAAGACTGACATGGATAGAGAGATAGGGAGAGAGAGAGAAAGACTGACATGAATAGGGAGATTCAAATACTGACATGGATAGAGAGATAGGGGGAGAGAGAGACTGACATGGATAGAGAGATAGGGAGATAGAAATACTGACATGGATAGAGAGACAGGGAGAGAAAGAAAGACTGACATGATAGGGAGAGAGAAAGACTGACACAGATAGAGAGATAGGGAGAGAGAAAGATTGACATGGATAGAGAGATGGGGGGAGATAGAGAATGACATGGATAGAAAGATATTAAGAGAGAAAGACTGACATGGATAGAGAGATATAGAGGGAGAAAGACTTACACAGATAGAGAGATAAGGTGAGAGAGAGAGAATGACATGGATTGAGAGATTTGGAGAGAGAAAGACTGACATTGATAGAGAGATAGGGGAGACAGAAAGACTGACATTGATAGAGAGATGGGGGGGACAGAAAGACTGACATGGATAGAGAGATGGGGGAGACAGAAAGATTGACATTGATAGAGAGATGGGGGAGACAGAAAGACTGACATGGATAGAGAGATAGGGCCTTGACATCTAGGTCGACCCAGCCTTGAGTGGGTTCCAGGTGCAGTCCTGGGAAGTAAAGGTGGCAGGCTAACCAAGTGCGCACCAAAATGTCTAATCCTATATAAACAATACACCCAAAGGCGTGGAAAAAAGACCTTTACTTTTAGTTTAACTATTAGAGTGGAAACAGGTCAGAAATTATCAAATAAATATATAAAACAAACATGTCCATAACTTACCTCTGTTTCTTCTGTCTGACTTATGCCCATTTGCTTTCAGTTTTTCTGAAGAAAAACAAAACAGAAACAGAACTGAACCAAATGAACCGTTGTAAAGACATTATAATTATTCACTCTTCAGATCCCTCTTCGTTAGCCTAGACTAAATTAAACAAACATGATAAGAATGGATATTGGTACAGTGTGGACCTGATAAGAAAAACTCACCATGGACCCAAGAAATGATTCTTCTTATCAGAGATATTTTTTATCGAATAAGAGTTCAAGAAACTTTATTGGGGATAAACAAATTGTTTTTCACAACAGAAATATGTGACATCCGAGATTACCTGAAGGGGTGTGTACTGTATAACAATGATTACATTCAAATATGACCAAGGAAACACAAGTGAAACAAAATGTTTAACACACCTCTTGCCGCATTTAATTCCTCGTCTGATGTGTCGCCACTATGTGCCAGCATTTCCTGTGCTCTTCTTGCCTCATGCTCTCTCCTCCTCCTTTCTTTCTCTGCTTTCTTTTCTTGCCGTTTTCGTTGTTTTTCTTTCTCTTCCCTTTCTTTCTGTTTCGTTTCAGAATCTGAAATGATAAAATCAATAAAATAAAATAATAACAACTAACGAAACAACAAAGACACTTGTCATATCTAAGTGAGTAACTGAATGACTGTCACAAGCGACAACAGCTCACAGAAGCCAGCTTCAGTCTTAAGAGATGAGGTATCTGATAAAAGTGGTCCAAGTGACAAGAAGAGACAAAATCTGCAATCAGACAATACTTCAAGATCTTGATAACAAGTCCTTACAAACTTGAGTGGATCAGTCACTGTTATGATGGTTTGGACATGCATATAGAAGCCATATTGAAATAACAACTAAGGATAAAGAAGATATTTTTCAAATATATTCAAGGCAATGTTTTAAAGGTATCTGATTATTTCTGACAGGGTGGTTTCCCAAACTTAACAAAAACTAACCTTTCTGTCTCTTCAACTGAGTTTGTGACTGTTTCTCCAGAAGTCCGTCCAAATCTGTCATGTACCTCAAAATCTACAGAAGAGAAAATACACACAGGTAAAATACACACGGGGTAAAATACACACAGGTTAAACATGACAGTTTCATTTACGTCAGACTGACCGACTTCAGGGTTGTAACTACATTTCTGTTCTATGTAAGTGCCTCGGCTTCATGGCATGGTATTGGTATAAAAAATGACTGGCTGTACAAAGACAGAGGCAGCGGACTGAAATGAAGACCAACATCCCACAGAATGGACAAGATAAAGAATGGCACAGCTGTCAGAAACACAGCTGTCAAGATACCAGCTTCATTATGTTGTTGCTGTCATTCTTTTGTAAAACACAGCTGCTAAACTTCAGCTCAGAATACACAGCTGTCAGAAACAAAACACAGATACACAGCTCTCATAAACTAGCTGTCAGAAACACAGCAGATACACAGCTCTCATACACAGCTGTCTCACAGCTCTCATAAACTCAGCTGTCAGAAACACAGCTCTCATAAACTCAGCTGTCAGCTGTCAGAAACACTCATAAAACTCAGCTGTCAGCCCACAACTGTCATACACAGCTGTCAGCCAATATGATCTCATAAACTAGAATGCAGATACACAGCTCTCATAAACTCAGCTGTCAGAAACACAGCTGTCAGATACACAGCTCTCATAAACTCAGCTGTCAGAAACACAGCTGTCAGATACACTCTCTCATAAACTCAGCTGTCAGAAACACAGCTATCAGAAAGTCAGCTATCAGAAACACAGCTGTCAAGCCAATATGATATAGAATGCAGTTAAGAAGCTTGACAAAAGATAAGTCACAGGAAAAAACAGTAGAAAATGTTTATTAAATGTTATCTTTATCAACGAATGAACAGTAAATGTAGGCAGTCAGAGCCAAAGCTTCCTTTCTTATCTCAGAGGTGAAGAACCAACAGTCTGCATTCAAAAAAAGCCAGCTAGGTCTGTTTAAGAAAAAGAAAAAGGATGTGCCTGCAAAAAGCTCTGGATAAAGACCAAAGTTCAGTCATGGATGAACAACCAGAACTTTCTGTTGGAGTTCATAGTCAGTGAATGCAGAAGTCCCTCTTCGGCTGCCAGGGCCCCATCATTAGTCAGTGGCGGGGGAAGGCAGACTTACTGCCTCCCAACAAGCATGTCATAGGAGGCAACTCATTTAGGGTGTACATCTACCTGAGAGGCAAGGAACCAACAGTATGCACACATACCAGCCATATCTGTAAAACAGATGCACATGCAAAACTAAGGTCCTGAAATCAAGCCAAAGTGAAGAAATGGATGAACCGTCAGGACTCTCCACAAGAGTTTACAGCCAGTGACCTTTTCAACATATCTGAACAAAGGAATTCCTAGATGTTTTCAAACCACAACCAGACATTTATGGCACTTACACTGTGTACTGGTGTGTGAAGTGCTCAGATATTTACATATACTATTTCACAGACTAAAAAAGACAATGGAGAGATAATATCCAGACAGACCTGCAAACACTTGGTGTCACCAACTGGAAAGAGAAGGCCAACCAAAGAAGACCAAACCCTGTCTTCCCAGACAATGACCCAGTATCCAGGGGTTGGGGGTGGTCCTGTTAGGGTTCCTGCAGTGACTGGAGACTGAAACCCTACTAGTACTGTGTTGGTAGGTGCGGACATCAACTACGATGTCACCATGTTTAACAATGCTCTATGGATGAGGAAACAGGTGTGACATCTGTCCCTGATCTGAGCAGACATGGTACAATTCACAATGTGATCCCACAGTCACATATTTCTGGTGTCTTTTCACATCTGTTATGTCTCAAGTTCTGATCAGGTTGATGTTTTTAGCTTATAGAAGCAATTATCAAAGTTTTTATGAAAACATCTTTTTTTTAATGTCCATCTCCTGGTGTAGCACGGTCCCTCCGTTAACTCATGCCAAGCTCTTTAAAGAGTTATTTGTGACAGGCTACATTTTGCAGCTGAAGTCTTCTATCGCAGTATTCTCTAATCTCGTTTCACTCATGGACCCAAAACATGGGAAAATGTTTTTTGGCCCACAAGACAGCTTTAAAACACATGCAGATAGCTCATCTGTGAAATCGATGTCACCAAATTACAACTGTCAGCTCACACAACAACTGCTGTTGGTTAAAGGTTAGAAAATCTATGCAACAGTGTAGTTCCGAAACCATGTCACTGCTTTATGAATCACTCGGACATTTACGTGGACCAGACTGGTCTGTAGACCACTAGCCCCATTCTATGGGACGAAGAATCCAGTCTCATGTCAAACCTCCTTATATGCCTCTTGTGACATTCATGGTGGGTTACATTGTTAGTATTCTATATTTCTTGTTTGGGCCCTGGTTAAAAAACAGCACTGTTGTAAATATATTTTTTTAAAAACACACAGAAATCTCTCTTTTTTTAAAGAATTAGTAAACAGAGAAGTAATAACAAACAATGATGACAAAAAATGTCATTGGAAATCTTACTCGTACTGCACACTTCCTGCATTGATCTTCATCCAAACAGTCCCCTGCATTCTTCTTCAGTCCATTTTCCAATGGATTGTCCTTCAAATCTAACCACTTCAACTTCTTGAGTTGACAGAATGACCGTGGCAGTGTGCGCAGCTGATTGCCCAGCAGGTCCAGATGCTGCAAGTTCTCCAGCTGACCAAAGTCTCTTGGGAGCTCACTGATTGAGTTCTTGCTCAGATCCAACCTGATGATGTGGGTAAGGCTGCAGAAGGTATCCTGTGGAAACAAAACAATTTTAGTTGAGAAGCATATCAGGATTACTGATGTGTATGTACACTTGTATTAATCTCCCTGTCGTTGAAAATAAATAAATAAATATGTAAAGCCATGTCCTCCTTCTGTTCTAATTTTAAAAAATATAACAAGAAAATATTCACGTCTGACCAGCTCCAGTGGAACTTTGGGCCAAAGCCAGCTCCCAAAAAGCTTTTCGTTGTAATTTTGGATTCTTGTTTTTTGCACCAGGATTATTGGCTATGACTGGTTTCTTATGCCATGATTGTTGGCTTAACTTTTTGCTCTGTCTGGTGGTGTCTCCTGTGGACTTCTCATCTAGGGTTGATTGTGTTGCTGCCATCCACCGTCTCCCTCCCGGGCCCATTGTGTATTGTACAGTCCTTAGAAGGACTCTCGCTGACTGGGTGGGGGCCTATTATCTGCTGCCTTCCCTTTCCTAGTGTCGTCTGACTTTCTTATGGTGTTAACTGTGTTTCTTGGTAGCCATAAACTCCTTTTTCTCTGTAGATGTTGTCTCTATTACTTGTTGAATACATTTTGGATTTTGCTGCCCCTCATCGGCATGCAGCCACTCAAGCGACATTCCTACTGCCTTATTTCTTCCATTTAGTCTACTTTCAGCATCGTTTGTTTTGTCCTCAATTCTTGCGTACCAACATCAGTTTCGACATTTTTGTTGCGCCTGGGCTTTGTCATCTGCTTCTTTTTTTGCTTTTTTTGTGTGCTGACATATCTGCTTCTATTCTGTTAGATTTAAAGGTGGACTTGATTGCTTGTTCATAATGTCCTTCAGAAGCTCCCGTTATTTTTTTAACAAAAAACGTGCAGATACAATTATCATCATCATGAGCATTACTAGGTGACATAGGCATTCAAGTCTTTAGATTATTCAATGTAGCTCTCTAAGGAATTTTAAACTTAATTCTGTAAAATCTACAAAAGGCTGGTTTACTCATTTTGAATTAGTGCTAGGTCACACATTCTGCAAGAACTAATAAATCAAATGACAAACACAAGTCACTTATGGCAATATTTTTAGCAAATTAAATGGCAGACAAGACATTTGCAATGCCTTTACAGGTGACACGACAGACAAAACACTTACTGGCAATGCCTTTAGCAAGTTACATGACAGATCCAGATGTGTCGCCTTCGGTAAAGCAGCCTGTGAAAAAAGGAAAAACCAAACTAAACAAGAGATACAGCATTTGTTTATTGATAAAGCCATCATCAACAAGTAATTTGCTAAATGGTCTGAATGTCCATGTCTGTTCACAGATTCTGTCCAAGCTCTCCATTATCAAATTTTTAAATGTTTAAAAACTTTACAATTTTGATTTCAGACATGGAACAAATCAATGAACCCAAAATATATATGTTTCTTACTGTTCACTAAAGTTTGTACAAATATAATACAGAAGTATTCACAGTATTCAAGTATGGGTGTTTGCATATATTTAATATTACAGTGTGTGTAGTACACAATCGTGACTGCCCATGGCAAAACACTTGATGATGATGATAGACTGAAGTATTCATCGTAAACACAGTAATAAAATAAAAAGCATAATCAAGTAAATACTGTATAAAACAATTTAGACAGGAGCTAAAAATAAGACTATCTACAGCAGGGCTATTCAACTGGCGGCCCGTGGATCATTGCCAGTTGTACTGCGTTAATAATCTTTCTCTGCTGGTGCTCAGGTCTCTGGCCTGTGATGATCCACACTTTCAAAATGTTGGCCTTTGAATAAACTTAGTTGAATAGCCCTGATCTACTGTATTGAATATAAAAATACATGTAATATAAATGTCAATGTATTACAGAAAAAGATTTAATCTTGTCAGGAACAAAGGCATTCCATCTCTGCAGATTTTAGTCTTTAATGTTCTGGATAAATTGTGTTACAGCCCCAACTCTGTTGCCTGGAAAAGCCGTGATCCTGGCATTTCTGTCAGTGACGTCCCAGAGAAACCTAGCTAATGGCAGTTGGGTTCTGTTTGCACCTGCGCAATGTTTAAGAGGACAAAGTATGAATATACTCAAAATAGCATTAAGTGTATTTTCTTGTGAAAAACCACTCTTACATCATAATTTGTCGACTCTGTGGCTAAGTCGATGCGAACGCTTCGCTTCGTAATGCCGGGATGCCAGGTTCCATCCCAGCTGCGGGCAATGCGCCTTGCGTTGGTTTCGACAGGGGTATCAAGAAAGCCGACCGTCCAGAAAGCAATGGCAAACTACTGGATGTAAATTGCCTAGAGAAACCACACAACAGCCAGGGGCTGTTGGGGTTGGTTCTGCAACGTCCTGTAAAGGATACGCAACTAACTAACTAACTAACATCATAATTTGCCCATGGTGTTAGTGTCAGCATTCGAGGTCACAGTCAGAGTCACTGAATACATTTTTATACACTCCAGGGAATGCATTCCATTTCATTTTTGCTCCATTTATGTTTACTGATTACTCCCTAACAATATTTGTAAATAGTAATAAACGGGCGGACAAACAGGCACAAACTCTTGCAGGACTAAGCATGAACAGACCTGATATCATCAATGCTGTATGGACTAGGCTAGTGGATAATGACGAATCTCTGATACTAATAGGATATGTGACTGGGATGAAACATGTCTATGGCCAAGATAGGAGACATCATAACCAACTCCTCACAGAAACAATCAGAAGAGGTACCTTGGACTGGCTGCTGCGTTGGAGGACTGATCATGCATATGAATGCCCAGTGTGCAGTGATGTTTTTTTAAATTAGTTTTTATATATAATATATATAATATATATATATATATATATATATATATATATATATATATATATATATATATATATATATATATATATATATATATATATATTTATATATATATATATATATATATATATATATATTATTTTTTTTTTTTTTTTTTTGTAATTTGTTTTAAATATTTGTAATATAGACACAGTACACACACACAAATGTGTAAAATGATTGAGTTTTTTTTTAAAGGAGTTTTGGGGCAAAGAAGTTAAAAAATTCAGCATTATTTCTCTTGGTCAGCGTCCTCTCTAACTGATCTTCTCATTCATCACATTTTTTTTTTAAACAGCCCTCTTGTTTGGTCATCATCTGTGGCATGGCCGCAGCAAATCTACCTTTTACTTCCGAGATTTCCGATTCTTTTCCAGCTGCAGGTGATTTGGTAGAAGAGCGTTTTGCATTATTTTATTATGTGTATTGAGCGCCGACCATTGATGGCAATGGCAAACTACTGCATATAAAAATCACCCTGTAAAACCAAATAGTCAACAAATGCTGAGGTTTGTTCTACAAAGTCCTGTAAAAAGATAGGTAACTAACCATTTTTCTTTATTAAGGGTTTTAAGGCAATCACTGTCAGTAGCTCTGGCCGTTCAGTCTTGTAAGATGGTTATGAGAAACAACATGGCTGCTTCTTCCAGGCTCTTCCTAATTCATCCAGTTACTCTCAAAGATTCACAACTGTACTGAGACAGACAGATGAACGATAGGGGAGGGGGCATGGTGATACAGAGGTGACAGATAGAGTGGGAGGTGTGAAAGTGAGAAAGGTGAAAGAGACAGGGGGATGTGGGGCAACAAAAGAATGACTTTACCTCTGCCTTCTATTCCAAGCACGACTGCAGTAATAGTAGCCTATAGACATGGACAAGGGTCCTTATATGACTGCTAATATAATTAGATACTGTATCTGTCAGGTTATATGGTCATCATCTCCTAATGACAGTTAATCTCTAAGTTTCTGGTTTCTAACCAGCATTATTTTCTGCTAGTACATGCAGTAATCCCACCCATTTCGTGAATGTTATCACAGATGAAGAGAAAGATGTACCGTCTGCTAGAAGAGCCCCGTGACTTGAGTTCTGTCAACTGTCAGCTGTCTTACTGGACATTCTTTTTTATTTCCCTCATATTTATTTATTTATTGCAAAGCCTGTCCACTCTTCTCTTAACAACAACACATTACCGTTTCAACGTTTCATGTTTTATTTTCATAAAATTGTACTTTGGTCAATCAATGCAGTTGTTTACATGTAAAGATTAATAAGATTTATTTCGTTTAGTTTTCAACTATTAATTATTATGCGCCTTACCAGTTCTTTAACTGGGACAGTTTCTAGGTTGCTGATGCTCAGGTCGAGCTCGTTGCCATCGAGTTTATCGCGTAAAGTTTCTTTGGGCATGTTTGATTGCAAATAAAAGAATCCTTGCCGAAAATCATGTAATTTCTGGAGCTGTTGACACGTAAACACCACCGGAAGTGTTACTTCCTGCCTGACCTGTTTGGCCTGGACAAATTTACTTACTCAAATGTCATCCTCACTGTCGTTATATTAGAATTATTCAGAAACGTAGAGGTTAACATTGTAATAAAAAATCGTTATTTGAAGCATGATACTACAACAATAATGAAATGCTGCACGCCTGCTTTCTAGCAGCGGTGTTTCTCAGACACATAGACTAAATAGAAAGGTCAGGGGAGGGACGGTAGACCAGTTGAAAAATGTACCATCATACTACAATATGCACTTCAACATCACATTTAAGACGTTGATAAAGCACCTGTCCCTCCAGAGTGCAGTTCTGCTACTAAATAATACACTGTGATGATAACGCCCAACTTGCTAACTGTCAATGCGTAAAATTTCTGTTGCATGGCGTATACTAAAGTCAGATCTCCTGCCTAATACTAACACCCTCACAAATATTAGCCACACTTATTCTAGGACAAACTATTATTTATTTTATAGGATGCTGACAACATAAACATACAATTATTGTATAGAAGATTAGGTCATCCATAAAAAATATAATAAATATCTAATAAGAGTAAAATAAGTGCCGTCGACTATAAAATCCCTGTGTTGTCATAAAAATAATATGCTTTATTTACGCAGTTAAAGACATCTATTTTTTTTTCTGCCTTATAATAAAAATGTAAAATTTAAGATTTTGAAAAGTACAATCAAAGATGCTCACATGTAAGGATGCAATTACACAATTAGCCTACAGATGCAAAAGTGCAAAAAACCTGAACAGGACCCGACCTCCCGACGACGGGAGACTTTTATTTCTGTGGAATAATATAATTAGATAACTGTTGGAGATTATCGCTTCAAGATGCCAGAACGTAAGTAATCACTTTCCAGACTGGGATTTTGGTCAAGCATTTTATTTATTATATAATCTTTCGTTAACAATTACTTTCAGCTGTAGCCAGTATTGTTGGTTAGTGTTTGATGTCACCAATTATCGATAAAAATAAAACTGCAAAAAAGAAAATAGATCTGATCTTCTTAGTTATTTTGACTTTTTAGTTTCAGATAAGACTTTATGAGAGTTCTTATGTCGTTTTATAGTATTGTCTCTTGTTTCTTTATTATTATTATGAAAAACTGTTGTTCTAAATAAATGAATAAAATGGTAGCGAGTTTCTATATGCTGAAAAATAAAAATTGTCTGCTCTGAAGCTCTGCACTCTCACTTTCAGACTTTCACTGTGAAAAAAAAAAAAAAAAAGTATTATCCAAAAAATTGGAATATATTTATATTAATAATCGTATATTTATTGAAATTAGCAGGACAGTAGTAATCTACACATTGACACATTGTAAAATAACAAATGTATAACTATATAAGTAAACAGCCATTATCTGAACTTGTATTAATGTCTGTTATAGTGAGAGAAAAGGGTTATTTATACAATGTTCTCCCCATTTACACACCACTGGTTGAAGGTCAACTCCCTTGATAAGTTGGACTAGTCTACTGTGTAGAGGTTATGGGTGTCAGTCTGTTGTTGTCTTGCATTTTTTTATTTCCGAGAAAGAGACGGCCTGAGACATAGGTTTTGTCACTCTCTAGGGGGGTTATGTGTTAGACCCAGTATCTAAATGTTTTAGAAGTGTTAAAAGCTCTGTCATGGTAAAATATACAGCACTCGGTATCAGCGCAAGTGCCGAATATCCCTGTGACTTTGTGTAAAAATCGGATTGCTCGAGGCCGACCTATCAGAAGTGAGGTGGGCTGTAGCATGTCCAATCAGAAGTGAGCTAGTGTGTAGTGGTGTGTAAATGGGTAGACCAGCATAAAATTGACCAAGAAAAATTTGCACATTTTTATGCATGAGGAATGTGGACAGTACAAAAAAATAAATGAGAAAAATGTGTAACATACTACATGAAAACCATAAAGTGATCAGAGAAATTAGACAGCCTAGATTTTGTTGGGTTTGCTATGAGAAATAAACCTGTAACCTCAGGGGCTCATGAGGCTGAAAGTGAACTGATCTTGTCAAAGTGAACTGATCTCCTTGTCAAAGTGAACTGATCTTGTCAAAGTGAACTGATCTCGCTATCAAAGTGAACTGATCTCGCTGTCAAATTGGACTGATCTTATCAAAGTGAACTGATCTCGTTATCAAAGTGAACTGATCTCGTTGTGAAAGTGAACCGACCTTTTTGTGAAAGTAAACCGACCTTATTTGTCAAAGTGAACTGATCTTGTCAGAGTGAACTGATTTTTTTTGTCAAAGTGAACTGATTTTTTTTGTCAAAGTGAACTGATCTTGTCAGAGTGAACTGATCTTGCTCATGCTTTTTTCATTGCAGGAGATGCTGAAGTGTTTTCTAACCCACTTCCCCCAACATCACATCGGATATCCGTGGACGATGTTGCGGACGATGAGTAAGAGCTTTTTTGGTGGGGGGGGGTCGTTATTTGTGTTATCCGACTTCCAGTCAAAATGGACGCTAGGCACGGTTAATGTTTGCTCCATTTGTAGACTGAAAGGATAGTCTCGTCGCCCAGCTTTTGAGTTGAGTGCATGGCGTAACACTGTGAGCTGCTGATTTAATTTGGAATGCTTTTCCCACTGTGACCAACATGGTGGTGTGATTGTAGATTTTTTTTTTTTCAGAAAATAGGGGCGATGACTGTTGTTGCGATACTGGTGGTGCCAGTATGTGATTAAAATTGATGCAAAGTGAACTACTACTGATCTGTGGTAACCTCTGCTACCATCCATGATGAACTGCATTTCAAATGTTTGGACTGTTTGTGTTTAGCACTTTGGATGGCTACCGTATTTTAATGCATGTGTATGCTAGTGCATATGCTGAAACCGAGCAGTCTGTCAACTCTTTCAGAGTGATAAACATTTTTGTATGTTTTTTAGTTGGCACAAAGGATCGGAACAGCTATGGGGTGACCCATCTGCTATGAAGCTGAAACTAAGATTACCAGATTTGTGTTATTGTCTAACCACACTTTGCTTACCCTTTGTGATTTCTGGACTCCATTTTTTTAAAGGGAAAAGTCCCTGTATTTGTTCCGGGGCCCTATTGTGGGGAAAAATAAGAATAGACCCACTGCCTGCCTCAAAGCATGTCGTAAGGAGTCGACTAATTGGAAGCTTCCAGTCAAAATGGACGCTAGGCACGGTTAATGTTTGCTCCATTTGTAGACTGAAAGGATAGTCTCGTCGCCCAGCTTTTGAGTTGAGTGCATGGCGTAACACTGTGAGCTGCTGATTTAATTTGGAATGCTTTTCCACTGTGACCAACATGGTGGTGTGAATTGTAGATTCAGAAAATAGGGCGATGACTGTTGTTGCGATACTGGTGGTGCCAGTATGTGATTAAAATTGATTGCATGTGCAACTACTGATCTGTTGGTAACCTCTGCTACCATCCATGATGAACTGCATTTCAAATGTTGGACTGTTTGTGTTTAGCACTTTGGATGGCTACCGTATTTTAATGCATGTGTATGCTAGTGCATATGCTGAAACAGCAGTCTGTCAATCTTTCCACTGTGATAAACATTCTGTATGTTTTTAGTTGGCACAGGATCGGAACAGCTATGGGGTGACCCATCTGCTATGAAGCTGAAACTAAGATTACCAGATTTGTGTTATTGTCTAACCACACTTTGCTTACCCTTTGTGATTTCTGGACTCCATTTTTTTAAAGGAAAAGTCCCTGTATTTGTTCCGGGGCCCTATTGTGGGGAAAATAAGAATAGACCCACTGCCTGCCTCAAAGCATGTCGTAAGAGTCGACTAATTGGAAGCTTCCAGTCAAAATGGACGCTAGGCACGGTTAATGTTTGCTCCATTTGTAGACTGAAAGGATAGTCTCGTCGCCCAGCTTTTGAGTTGAGTGCATGGCGTAACACTGTGAGCTGCTGATTTAATTTGGAATGCTTTTCCACTGTGACCAACATGGTGGTGTGAATTGTAGATTCAGAAAATAGGGCGATGACTGTTGTTGCGATACTGGTGGTGCCAGTATGTGATTAAAATTGATTGCATGTGCAACTACTGATCTGTTGGTAACCTCTGCTACCATCCATGATGAACTGCATTTCAAATGTTGGACTGTTTGTGTTTAGCACTTTGGATGGCTACCGTATTTTTAATGCATGTGTATGCTAGTGCATATGCTGAAACAGCAGTCTGTCAATCTTTCCACTGTGATAAACATTCTGTATGTTTTTAGTTGGCACAGGATCGGAACAGCTATGGGGTGACCCATCTGCTATGAAGCTGAAACTAAGATTACCAGATTTGTGTTATTGTCTAACCACACTTTGCTTACCCTTTGTGATTTCTGGACTCCATTTTTTTAAAGGAAAAGTCCCTGTATTTGTTCCGGGGCCCTATTGTGGGGAAAATAAGAATAGACCCACTGCCTGCCTCAAAGCATGTCGTAAGAGTCGACTAATTGGAAGCTTCCTTTGAAGTCGGAGTGCATATGCCTGAGAGGCAACAAACCAACAGTCTGCACATGAATGAGATCTGTCAAACGGATGTACACGCAACACCCAGGTTCTGAAATAGGGCTGCAGTCCAGAAGTGGACGAACAACCAGAACCTTCCATCAGAGTTTACAGCCGGTGAACGCAAAGATGAAGAAGAAGAAAGAAAAGGCCTACTGTCCCTCTAACAAACATGTCAAAAAAGCTGATAAGTTTGGGATGTTTTCTTCCAAGTCACAGTGCCTGTAAAGCAAAGAACCAACAGTTTTGCTTAAAAATAAGCCAGATCTGTAAAATGAATGTTCACACAAAACTCACAGTTCTGGTACAAGACTAAAGTCAAGAAGAGAGTTAACAACCAGAACTTTTGGCTGGAGTTTACAGCTGGCGAAGAACACTAAGGGGACAAAGACATTTTACCTGT